AGCCGGCCAATAATTTCCCCACCATTTCTTCAACTTTTGTATCTTATACATCGCTACCAATCCTAAATTTTCAAAACACACACACTCACTTTGATTCAGAGCTGCAGTTGAATGGGTTCTCAGCTCAGAAAGCACCCTGTGAGCTTAATACCCTAAAATTTCATAGATAAGAGCGGTCCATAGATAAGAGCGGTCCCTTAAAATCGCTATTTTTCTATATGAATTGTTCATTAAGTGGGCGGGGCTTAGAGTTCAGGAGCGGAGCTTCTTCTAAACTTCTCCTCCGATTTTTATTTATCAATCCATCAAGTTAGAGGGGTGACTGCATTCAATTTCAATTTTTTCCAATCCATTTTTCACCGGTAAATCAAACCGCTATTGACTATGGAATTTTAGAGTAATCATATGAAAGTTTCTTTCATTTTAGAGTCGTCTACCCTCCCACCTGCCTTCTCTCCCTCTCCTTCCCAGGCAATCCACGCGAACGAAATAAATGGAGAATTTCGTGTTCGAGGATCTCCCAAAAATGAATCAACAACTATTTGGCGCAGATTTTTCTCCCTCAATACAGTTCCACAGAGCTTTTGTGACAGTTACAAACGAGTAACAGGGGCAAACTGTTAGGAAAATGGCTTAGAGAATAGAGACTTGATGAGTTTTTTAACCCAAAATTGAAAGAAGGAGGGAGAGCACGAAAAGCGAACAACGAAATGGCAGTGAAAGAACTGAAGGGCCAGGTAAAGCTTGAGATTTCGCTGAGCCGATGAAGCGCAGCAGTAGGCTGCCCCATTCGCAAACACTGTCGAGAGCCTACGTAGCAAATACTAAAGTGTTTTCTTGTTTCAGAAGGGTCGTGAGGGCAGAAAACTAAGCAATGAAGTAATAAAAGCTCTCGATGCTACTGTAGTGCGATAGCTACAGCTTTTTCGATTTACTTGAAGCACATTTTCTCAATCCGATTGGAGATCGTCTCCACTTCGATCCGTTTCGTTTGGTAGAGAGATTCTGATTGAAGAAACTGGTTAGCTTCATTAAATAACTGTCAATTACCTGCAGTCCTTTGTTCGTTATCAAGGACTTCTTTTTCCGGTCAATATCCGTTCAATATTGACATATTTTCCTGACTTTGTCATCTCCCAGCGAGTCTATAGAAAACCGGTCGGCCACTTTAGAAATCGATCAGGGCGTAGAATTTTGCTCAGGTGGCATCACTCAGATTTTTAGTGACTAAAGCCGCCCTCGAGAAAATCTGTACCACGGATGAATGTTGTAAGAACGCAGACAACTGTTTTATACAGTAAAAAAACAAAGCCTATCTTTCCATGTCATCTTTTTATTTCGTAAAAGAATTTCGTAAGCTGCCCGTGCAAACGTTGAGCAAGCATTCTTCAGTTTCGGAAAGGACATAGCACAAGGCCAGGGACGTATGTATATCACGAAATGGACTTTCAAAAATATGTAGATTCTTTGGAAACTTTGGAAGAGAATAAAACCCTATCAACATTCAATCCAGCTCCCCTTGTTTTCGGAATGCGAGCCGATGCAAAGGACGTTGATCCAGGCTTCTGCCTGTCCTCAGGGAGCTACTGATTCGAATGCTAGACAAGGACTTTTTTCTACTCATACCGTTCTTGGATTGCTTCTGAACAACGGGTTGAAGGCATAACTTCGTCTGATCGCTGCTCCAAGCAAAGAACATGGACACGTCAATATGCAGCAAAGCCACGTCAAAAACAATTTATAAATTGTGAATTTCGGCTTAAAATTCAGTAGTTTTAATTGAATATCCCGCTGAAGTTCGATTAAACAGGGCATTTGACAGATTTTCCGCTTATTTAAACCCTTTCAGGAAGGTGACCCTTTAGGTTCCATTGGGTCATCGTGCGTGTGGTTCAGATAGGTTGTTGATTGAGGTTGGTGAAGTCCTTCAAGGTATATGATTGTCACTGGTTAGTTTTTATGATCTTACCCTAATTATAACGAATCACCGAATCGCGACGGCTCCATCGGTGACAAATGTCATCGATATGGAACCACCTTATACCACCTCACTGCCTATATTGTAAGGAACCTTCCACTTTTTTGCGCTCTCCCTTTCAGCTGCCTCAACCTCAAAACTAAAACGTTGTCTTTTAGTCACTTAGGAAATGCATTGCACCGGTCTCTATAGAGGTTGAGAAGTACAGATTTCTCTGAAAGGGAGTAGGACATGAGGTGCAGTTCACGTGGGACTTGTTTGATAGGAGTATTTCTGCAGATACATGGAGTGTACGTAGCGGTAGGATGCTGCTGATGTAGAGGTAACAATATGTTTGATCTCATCCACCGGACAAATCGCAGCGTTACTGCACAGAGAATTTGGCATACAGTGAGCTTTTAAAAAAATTTATAGATGAAGTGAGCTAATGAATACGTCACTACGGAGGTTTGATGATGAATCAGACGCTGAAATGAAAGCTGAAACTGCGGTCCTTCTCAAGTTTAATCCTTATGTTCTGAACCTATAGGCTTGAGAACAGGACTACGAAGCAAGCACCATTCTAAGCTGCAGAAAACACGGATGAAAAATGCATGGCAAGAGATGGCGATGGACTTCTAATTGCTTATGATTTTGGTAGATTCACATCGCACACTGCTGTAAAATGGGCCGAATGTCTACAGTTATTTTGAAGTCGGGTGATGGTGGTGCACTGGCAAGTGGTACACCTCCAAAGACGCACTGCTGAGGATCGATCCCGGATCGATATCTATGCAAGCCGATCAGACCTTCCATTGCTCCGAGGTCCATTACGTGTTTCCAGATACGTCCGGTGAAAAGTACTGATTTGTGAACTGTGAACTTGGCTGATAGTATAGTAATCAGTTACTATATAGTATTCAGCTGACCACCATTCAGTCGCTGTACAGATTATACGCAATCGAATCGTCCCCACGATTCCGAATTCAAGTCGCCGCTATGACGCTTCCCATATACGGGATTGTTGACGCTAAAAGACCTTTATCCTTCATCCTTTATTAACCCATTGACGACCATCACTGCAGTCCACATGTGGACTGCATGGTCTCGGAAGGCCAATTTCTTTAATTTTGAACTGGGAGTTGCTTAATTTTTTCTGAGTTTGCAAATTTAGGATATGACTAACGATGATGGTAGGAGGTACTTCGATTTTAGTCAGCTAGTGATGGATTCTGATGAGGAGAAGTTCCTCAATCACCAATTCTTTTCAAAAAAAGAAATCATTGAAGGGCCACATGTTTCATCAAGAAAACACCGGTGTGGTGTAAAACTGTCTGAATTAGTGCGGAAGGTAGATATACCCTGGAAACGAAAGGCTAAAATATAAGTATGTATGATGTCCATGCTTATTGTTACTATCAGTTAATTGCAAAATGGGAAGCTTCCCTGGGACCACACAGTATATAGTTTAACTTCGACCTGATCTTATGTTTTGACAAGAAAGATTGTTAAAAAGTGGCGATAAATAAAATATACAACTGCAGTCCACATGTGGACTGCATGGTCGTCAATGGGTTAAGAAGGTAACTCCTAGAGTTTGATTTGTTGAATAATCTGGCACGACTAAGACCGGGAGACTTGATTGGCAGCTTCTTGATAATAAATCGATTTACATGAAAAACCTATATATTTATTTCTCCAATAACTTTGTCATAGTGTACACATTTTGAATAAGTCCTTTTGCACGATCGATTATAGGTTCGATGTCCTCCTTGTCTTTCATGGCGACCACCTGAAAATGGATCTATTGAAATGAAATGCTGCTAGAGACACCGAGTGTGTTGAAATCCTACTTTGAACAGCAGAGTAACCATGGCCACTGGCATGAACATGTCGTATGCTTTCCTAACATTGTCCAGTGTCACTTGACAGTCTTCCGGCGAGTTCGCATGAAGATAGGCATGATATCCTTCGAGAAGCTCACTTGTCCACTCGAGCCGATCCTGGAACCATTATCTTCAGAAGTACAGCTTGAACAGACCTTTTCAGGTGCTTCTTCAAGTAATGACGAATTTCAGCAGAGATAGACAGGTACACAGAAGCGAATTTCTACGCAAAGTAGTGGTGATGATTTCATAGGTAGTGAGTGATGATGACAGCTTCATATATAGAAAAATTTTGAGACGATACGGGCATCTTCGGACAGGTTGTGAATCCTGGAACCTAGCTACGCCCACATAAGTGCAAGCCCCGCCCACCTTGCGAATTCGACTGTCCTTACTCTAACAATCTATGCACTTTTTTGAATTCTATTGTAGAGCGTTATTGAACGGAGTTGTAGGTAATATACAGGGTGTCCCAAAATTATTTGCGCCGGTTTATAGCAATATATTTGAAACTTCTCAACTGCGAAAGACGATGGNATTTCTATGCACGCTAGCTAACACTATGTGCTAAAATATGCTACAGTCGCATTTCAAAATACCCCTCGTGAGAGCGGATGGAAGACAAAGTTCGCTCTCGACTTGATCGCACGTGGCACGCAGGTATCCTTCTCCATTTCTTCCCAGCCGTCCTCTAGCTTTTGCATTCTAGGACTCCAAACTGGGACTGCGAACTCGACAAGCCCTATTCTAATCAGGGACCCTTCGTGGGATTCGAGTGAAACAAGTTCTGGAAAATAGGATGGCCATTCCTCTTCATCAATGAAGTCGGGCAGCTGTCGTCGCCACCACTCGCGGGCAAGCATGGCTCTTTGGGCTGGAGAAGCGTCCCGCTGGAAGGACTACGAGATGTTTCAGAAAACGTAGTCGGATCAATGTTTTATTTACTTCCATTAGTACGCCGTTTGAGTACTGGTCTTGGTCAATTTTCACGCCTGCACCGAAGAAACCACGAGCGGCTTACCCTTGCCAGTGATTTCCTCGAAAAACATCATTTTACTGTTCTGATAACAACCTTTTTGTGAGATATTACACGCTGGATGTTTCTTTCCGGAACGCGAACGTTTTGGTTGTTGAGGGATGGTTTTATCGTAACAAATTTTTTGATCAGAGAAAACGACGAAGAGTTGCGTGTCATCACTCAATTGGGTCTGCGACTTTCTGCATTTTTTGGCCCTGCAGAATCTATTGAGATCGGGATTGGAGCATACGATAGGAATGGTAGTGAGGCTTCTGCATGACATTCTTCCATGGCGATAACTCCTGTAAACCGTGCCCGTTGACTTCCTTTTGGTGGGCCACCCAGGATGCCGACCGATTGGCATACGGACCATTTTAATAGTCCTATCTTCAGAAACATTCTACCTTTCTATCTTTCCTGGTTTGTCTCTGATTCAATCTTCTTTTCTATATCGTTTAATAGCCTCCTATACGGTTATTAGAAAAATCCCAGAGAATTTCATGACGCCCTTCCACTTCTCGCGCGTCAATGATTGCAAGTGGCATTGAATGAGCCTCCTCCATCTGAAGGATAATGAGAGTTCCACATCAGCAACCACGCATATTGCAAGAAAACCTTCTTATGCAACTAATTAATAACAGGTTCCTTACTCTAACAATCTATGCACTTTTTTGAATTCTATTGTAGAGCGTTATTGAACGGAGTTGTAGGTAATATAGAATGCTTGACTTGAACATTGGCTGGCCACCGCAGTCACTGTATTGGCCACATATGCACATTTGATGAAACATAGGCTCATTTGAATGGACTGGGGTCTGGTATCTCCTTCCTGAAAGTACACTGAACACTGCGTCGCGCTCGCCGCACCCGCCGCGTATCGCAGACCTTTAATTATTCAAATCTGCTGGTCACTCCCTTCAATTCCAATGTGGTCTTGAATGTCGATAATATATGTAGGAAAAGTCTTTCTAAACAGCCAAATCCAGTGAACATAAAAACGGAGGAGGAGGTGGAGGAGGAGGAGGAGGAGGAGAGAGGCTGAGTACGGCGGTAGTGCAGTTTGAAGCTGCGGGACAACCTAAAAAGATTCGCCGCTTGATGCAAAGCGTAAGTGGGAATTCGGGGAGAAGTAGATGGTTTGGGCTAGTAAGATCCTACTATATATAACGCGCTAAGTGTGTCTGTTGGTTTGTCTGTGTGTGTGTGTGTGTGTGTGCGTGTGTGTGTGTGTGTGTAGTTGTGTGT